TTCTGCAAAAGTGTGTGCGCTGACCGGTCCAGCCACCTGGCCGCCAATTGTCGAGCTGTGATTGGCCTGGGACTAAATCATCACATGAGGTGCAAGTTGAGGTATGGTGGAGTGAAGTTTTGCAAGTTTGAAACTAAATCATCACATTCTGTGCAAGTTAGGATACCTGGGGTGCTATTACCCCATTTGTAAGCGGACGGGGCCTACGAGCCGCCCCAGCATCCCCCCGTTCAGTGCCAGTGCCCGTGCAATCAATGCAGCCTTCCACTCCACGCGATGCGGACATGCCAGCCACGCCACTGGGCACGGCCGGCCGGCCGACGCCGTGCACACGGACCAACGCAATCATGCAACACGCCACTCCTCTTCTCCCCTCCCTCCCTCCGTGACTGACTGACTGAGACTGACATGGCCTCTGCGATATGCCTCGTTTTGGTGGCGCTTCAAACGGAGGACCCGCGCTCGTGAATGTCGTGTCGCGGCAGGTAGCGGGTAATCAACCAGCTCGCACGTACTCCACGGTGGTTGTTGTGCGGCCGTGCCGTATGAGTGCGTCGATCCGCCTTTTGACTTCCTGTCTCGCGGCCGAGATCTGATCGGTCCCGGAACGCGGCTGCGGCATGCGCCGTACTCGTAGTATCGATCGTCATGGCGCCCTGGCTGTTCACGAGCACGCCGACAAGCGCGGCCGGCCTCCCCATGAACTCCTGTCTGCCCATCGTTAGCGTCTTCCAGCCCTATCCACGGGTGGTGCTCCGGGAGACTATTCCACTCTGGAATGCAATATTTGTCGTGTAGACTCATGTTGCGACAAGTGTTGTCGATGCAATATTTGTGCAATGTGCAGAGACCCTGAACGACACAATATTTGTCAAAAACTATGGTCCGGGAGAAGTTCGGTTTTCGCCCGATTTCCTGTCGATTAATCAGACTACTCTTTTCTGCTTAATTAATCGGTGAGGCAAATCCTTTAGCTCCTCTTTTTTTTTTAAAAAAAAAGCCCCCGGACACATGGTTGATCATTCGCAACATTGGTCTAATTGCAGCGCTTTGTTGAATGACTGAAACCAGGTCTAGAAACACTGCAAATGGTCTTTTGGTTTATTAGGCGTTTCCCCCCTTTTTACCTGGTACCTTTCAGCTGCAAACCACCCGGGGTGCACACGGTTTTCAGTGACCCATGGTACCTACGATTACGCGCATAGGCATATGGTCACTTGTTTTTTTTTTCAAGAAAACTTCTCATCTATTCATATTCAAGCATTGCGGTACAACGAACACCAGATATAATAAAAACTACATCCAGATCCGTAGACCACCTAGCGACGACTACAAGCACTGAAGCGAGCTGAAGGTGGGTCGCCGTTATCGCCCCTCCTTCGCCGGAGTCGGACACAATTTATTGTAGTAGACAGTCAGGAAGGCATCGTACTAAGGCCCCATAGGACCAGCGCATCAGAACAGTAACCGCCGCCGATGAAGAATAACACAGATCAGAAAGATCCAAGCCGAAGACACACGAATATAGACGAACAACGACGAGATCCGAGCAAATCCACCAAAGACACACCTCGACACGCCCACAAACGATACTAGACGCGCCGCCGGAACAGGGGCTAGGCGGGGAGACCTTTATTCCATCTTCAGGGAGCCGCCACCGTCTCGCCTTCCTGAGCAGGACACAAAGCCTAACAAAACTGAAAGAAACGATTAAAAACGGAGCCCTCCCGCTGGCCCTTCCCAGGATCCATCGTGCCGCCATGGCCCTAAGGCCAACGGAGACGAGGCGGACCTGCGGCGGCGCAGGCGAGAGGCAGAAACCCTAGCTTTTGTTTTGGAGGAGGAGGCGGCGGCGACTATGGACAGATATGGTCACATGTTCTCGCTTGTATTATTGTCCATCCCTCATGTTTTTCACTCTTCATTTTCCATGTCTTTGTTATGGAGTCAAGTCTAAATTGCAAGAGAATTTTTAGAGAATGATATATATGATCCGTTTTTCTAAGCTTAAAGTAACGATAACGTAACAAACGTCAGCTGGGAGGAGGATGACAAGCGAACACTTTTTCCTAACAGGTTTAATTATTTTGTGAGATCAAACGGTGACAATTTTACACGAAAAATGCCTTGTCTTTCTGAAGAAGTTGACATCACCTCACAACTAAAATAATCATCGAAATCATTTGAAATGCCACCCCTCCCAGCGAACGTTCGCCAGCTAAGAGGGTTCTAAAGTAAAGATGACATCCTTCAAGTTCTGAAATACATGGAATGCATCACACTATTGGTAGAAACTTATCCTGTCAATTTTCGTGAAAACTAATTTTCGAGCGGCAAAAAAAGGAAAAAACAACTTACGGCGAAAAAGGCTATAATACAAGGTCAGTTGTTTAAACCACAAATAAATTACACTTCTAAATTTTGCACGGATTGCAAATTTTACATGGACATGTTTCCATGTTTGAATTTTCTGTAATTGTTTGAAGCTTAAAATGCATTTTCTTTATCAATATCACGAAATGGTTCATATGTTAGGACTTTCAGCTCGAATCCGCCTGATGATGTTCATGCTTTTGTGAGGCACAATGGCCATGAGGCAAAACCTTACTACTATCATCATTGTTATTTTATTGTTGCTATGATCGCTCGACACTCTACATTATGCCAATGCCAGTATCACAACAAGAGTTTTGCCGTGTTGCCGTGTTGTTCTTTTCCTTTCCTTGGGTTGAGCACCCCGTGTCCCTCTGCTCCGGGCACCATATTGTTTGTGCATGTGTTGTTCCATACCTTGTAGTCACTCTTCTTCTATCAATGAATGATAGCAAGCTTTGCATATTTGTGAAAAAAAAAGTATCACGGCAAGAGTCCTCTCAAAAAAGAAGTATCACAGCAAGAGAAGACACATACACTGTCCAATAGTTGACTTTCACTAGATACTACGTCCAGGTCTGTATCTCTCTTCCAGATCGGCAACAGTCATGCAAGGCAGCGTAGCACCCTTGCACACGGCAGGAAGAACTATATTTATATGTCCATTATAATTACCGTGCTTTAGTATACATAATATTGGAGATTTGCAGATTTATCTGCAAGAGCAGTGCTACGCAATCGATGATTTTTTGGCCGATGCATGCATGACACTAGCTAATCACCGTTAGATTAAATCCCTTCATACATAAGGAACGTGAGATGCTAACATCGCCCACATGCCGTACATAAAACAATCGTGCGAAGCTTTTCCGTATCTGCAAATAATGAAATAAGACGACTACAAACTAATGATTCCAGATTAAATGACGTGCTATGCAGTTTGTCTACTTTGAAAGTACTCGTCCTAGACCACAAACTAATGATTCTGGAACATGGAAGAAGAAACGACATCTTTCATCTCCCACCTCAGAAGCTCCAGGTCTCGCAAGAGTTTATTACGCCAAGGTGAGTGATGTCATGTTTCCAAGAAGTCTACTCCGTTGCTTGCAAGAATCCTTCTCCCCATGGAACAGACAAAGAACAATTTACTGATGACATAGACTAATTGTCTACTCTGAAAGTGCTTGTCCTAGACTTTGGTTTGTCAACATCAAATTGCTCCAAGAACCAATAATGTGAATGTGCTATAGGCCAATAAGTGATAACACTCCTTATTCGAGTTCAAGAATGATGCGATCAACCGTGTGATGTCTAGGCATCACATGCAGCAGCTCAACATGAAGTGAATTTTGTCTCCATGTTCAGTGAGCATGCCCAAATCAAGAAAATAAACCTTTTGTTACGAATTGAGCTGGGAGTGAAGAAGCAAATGGCCACATGCTTACTTGGCTTGGTTCAGTTCTATCCAATTGCAGCAGATGGTACCACACTTTGGTGCTCCAAACAAAGAAATAAAAAAGAATGAGTCTTTATAGAGGGACATGAGCCCATGATGCACCACAGAAGAACAGATTTTGTACCAGGCACATGACTCTGGACTAGTTTATTTGTAGACAGGCCATGGAACCCTTTTTGACATGGGCTGTCAAACGAATACGATTTACATTTCTTTCCACTCCGTTTGCACGTACAATGGTCTCGAAATTGAGATAGCCTTTTTATCCACAATATGAATGAACAAATAACTAAGTTCAGTTACTAAAAGAAAAAACACAAATAACTAAGTTCAACAAATCGTCAAAGAAGCTGCAACATGAATGTATGATTTACATGATTTCGTATACAACCTTATCACAGTAAGTAAATATATATTATAGTCTTTAAGCAGAGTTAACTCAATCCTACAAAACAAGGGTAAAAAGGAGTTTCCACATTTGCTCTAATAAGGAACAAACATGCATGATCTTTTTTTCCGAAAAGGAGGATTACCCCCGGCCTCTTCATCAAGCGATGCACACAGACATAAACATGCATGATCTGCTTAATTACTTTCTAGATGGGAAGAGGAGTTTATATGCAGCTTGGTAGGGGCACACGCGAAGAAAAAAACTGCCTCAAAACAAAATACAGGTTTCAATTATTTTTCTCATTGTATCCAACACCCACTATTTTCAAAAAGGAGTATACGCAAAACGTTACAAACCTTACAGGGGCTGGAACTGCTGTAGTATCTTTGCTCTTGTATTTACCACTTGTCAGTTTTGAAAATTTAAATGGATAGAGATAAGATTTAGTTATTATCTGCTCCATATTTGGCCCATTCCCACCCTTAGGTCCAACATCATTGAAGAGGACAAGGACCCAAAAAAGGAATTTGCTTTCACCATTTTCATAAAAATGTAACTGATTAAGCAAAAGGATACAAGAAATTTACCGAAAGGTTGATGGTTAATTTACGGATCTTACCATATTACTTCTGCACTCCATTCAATCGATCATATAAAACATCATCACATGCCCACTGGACAATTTATATTTTTCCAGAATATGAATAGATTAAAGTGCAGCCCAGATCATGTCCTGTCAGAGTCTCAGTCAATGTCTAAAACTGCACAAACCCGACTGTGTCAGTGGAGAAGAGAGGTGATTTCCGCTCGCTGTTCAATAAGCGTCTTGCAGCTTCTGTTGCTGAGGATAATGTCCGCAAATTCCGTCCTGAGGACCTCAGCCTCAGAATCATCTGTTTCCCCCAGTTCTGGAGAAGAAAGGCACGTATTACATAAATCATCTACAGAGTTAGTCCGATGACATCCTTTTGGGCCATTCAAGCCAGTTCTTTCAGTGGCGTTTGCAAAAATTTCCTTGATAGCATTGCACCAAATTGGTTGAGCTGCCTCAAGAAATCTAAAAAATGCCAAGACCGGAAGATCAACACTTCCTATATCAGGTTCTTCCTTGTCATCTCGTCCATGGTAATCTGATCCACCGAGCTTCAGAAGCTCATAAGTATCAGCCAGATCACTCAATCCTGTTTTAGACAAATTCAGCAGTTAATTGCATTGAAGTTCAGATACATTTTCTTTTCAAGAAAGGGATAAAATAGACATACATAAGATGCACCTTAATATCTGAATAATTTGGTAACATAACGTATCACTTGTTATGACTGAAAAATGATCATGCTGTTCATACCAGATAGTTTCCCATCGCTTCGATAGACCTCAATAGCATGCAGACCAGCAGCCTTCAAATCCTTTATCACAGGAACAGGATTTTTCAATGCCCACGGATGAGCCAAAACAGCTATGCCCCCAGTTCTACATATTAGCTGCACAACAGATTCCCCAGCTGGCTCACTACCACTACAAATGAACAGCAGAAATCCACATCAGTACATAGTAACTACTCTGCATCTGGTGCGAAATGAAGCAAAAAACATGCATGACCATGATCCAAAATGTATACTTACGTAGCATAAGCAGGCCCTCCATCGTACAAGTACCTGCTGAAAGCTTGCCTAAGATTATCAACATATCCAGCTTCAACCATGGCACGCGCAACGTGCACCCGCCCTGGAGCCACCCCACTCCCTGCTATATTAGATACATCTTCGAAGTTCAATGGCATGCCGAGGTTCCTAAGTTTCGATAGCATCTCCTTGGCACGTGTATAGCGGCTCTCCCTGATGCTAGATAGAACCTTCTCCAGTTCCTGAGATTTAGCAGGGCCCCAACTACCGTAGTATGCAAGAACATGAACAGGTTCATTGGCTCCTGATCCATTACTTTCAGAACAATTAACAACTTTGAGAATTAACCACATCTGTCCGGTTAAAGCATGTTACAAAATTTAGGGTGGAGAAGAGAGTTACCTAGGCGAATAAACTGCACTTATCTCAACAGCAGGGATGATCCTGATGGAAAATTCCTTTGCAGTCTCCATCGCCTCCGCGACACCCGCCATGGTGTCATGATCAGTTAGCGCGAACACTTTCACCTGTGCTGGTCACCAGGTAACAGAGTTAGCTTAGGAATGCGCTAGTCCTTTGCATTCAGAAATAGCCAATAAACAGACGATTGGTCATGCAGAAAGTCACTCCCTGATCAATTTCTGGCAGGCGGTTATCCGAATGCGGTTCATTATATATGGCACTGAAATAGTTATGGGGCTCTTTTACAGAAGTAACACAAAAGAAAATACTACTCCGCCTGTCACTTTTTACTCCGCGCATAAGATTTGTTTGAAGTCAAACTATGCAAAGTTTGACCAAATTTATATATTAAGAATATCAACATCTACCATATAAAAGTTTTGTAGTACTCCCTCCGACTTTAGTGATCTAAACGCTTATATATTTCTTTACCAAGTACTCACTAAGGTATAATAAAGCAGCGACAATTAATATAAATGCGGAGGAAGTATGATTTTAGTGGTGCATCTAATAATATATTGATTAAACGTTGTGAATGTTGATATTTTTTCATATAAAAGTTGGTCAAACTTACAAAGTTTGACTTCCATAAATTTTATATGCAGGCTTAAAAAACAGAGAGAGTACCACATCAAAGCGCAGCAAGACTAACACAAGTAGTAGCGGAGGTGTTTAGCAGCGCACGAGGATGAGATCGAACATGTCATCGGCTATTGCGGAACTGAAGAACTTTGCATTTACGCTTGTAACAAGATGGAGGAACGTCGTAGTTGTTTCGTCGAGCACGTCCCGAACGTCTCTGCAGTTGGTGACAGGCGGGAAAGAAGGCTTACCCCGTTGCGGTGCGCGCGCTCCACGAGCGCCGCGGGCGAGAGCGAGCCGTCGCTGCGCGTCGAGTGCGCATGCAGCTCCACCGCCACGCGCGGCCGCCGCCTCCCCGCCGGCAACAGGTGCCCACCACAGTCCGCCGCATCGTCGTCGCCCGCCTCGCCGCGGCGGGCCCAGCGGAGCACGGACCTCAGCGCGGCCAGCTCCTCCTCGCTCGGCGCCCTCCGACGCTTCTTCTTCTTCCTCGCCCGAACCTTCTTCTGCTGCTCCCGATCGTCTGCGTCCGGTGGCGCGGCATTGGCCGCTGCAGAGGCGGCCACCACCGCCTCCTCCTCTTCCTCTTCCTCGGTCGTAGCGGCGGGGCGCGTCGTCGTCATGTGTCCCGTCGCAAGCTAGCTGCAGGCTGTGGGCGTGCGCAGCGCAGTAAAAAGGGGTAGGGCGTGGGAAAGGCGTCGCCAGGGGCTTTTAAGACGAGCGGTCGCCCATCAGCGACAGGACAGGGAAGAAGTGTCTGCTGAGGCGCGCTCTCGGGAGGAGGGGCCGCCGCGCGCTCGTGTCGTGTGCCGGTCGTCTCGGCCCCTGCGGCGCCCATCACCATGCTCTGTGGATCATCGATGCTGCGCCTGCGCAATCCTGTTTTTTTTTTAAATCTAATTTAGCACCCTGGTTTTTTAGACTAAGGCCAACTCCACCGCGCGACTCTATCCTGTCCGCCCCCGTCCGTTTGAGGTAAAAGGGACAAACGAGACGGCCCAGTGCGCGGGCGTAAACGGACTTTTATCCGCTTTGTGTCCGCTTTCGACCCATCTCCGGCCCAAGTTTGCAGCGGTTTTGGGGTGAAACGGACAGCGCGCGGACGGGCGGGACGCGCGCGCTTGTCCTCCCCTGGCCCGCGTGTCGGTGGGAGAAACCAAAACCCCCCACGCCCATTTGGCGCCATTTCCCCCAAACCCTCCCACGTCCCTCCCGCCGCCCCCTCTCTCCCCCGTCCATGGCCGACGCCCCGCCGAGTTTCGGCGGCCTGGCCGTCGACCCGACCGCAAAGGTGAAGAAGAAGGCGCCAAGGAAGCCGCGGTCGGAGTGCACGCCGGAGGAGATCGCCAAGTTGGACGCGGATTCGGCGAAGAGGAGGGAACGGAGAGCGGCCGTCAAGGTCAATGCCGCCGCAGCCAAGTTCGCCGCCTAGCGCGAGGAGCTGGGGGCCGCGCGGCGAAAGGCCGCTGCCGACGAGAAGGAGGACCTCGTCAACAAAGCGCACGCCATCCTCATGCTTGGCATGGGCCGTCCGGCGGGGTTCCATGCAGCGGCCGTCGGCCCGGCGAGCACAGGCTCGTCGGTCGCCCGGCCTACGCACTGCCAGTGGCCGACGTCGCGCGTCGCGCCCATGTCGCCCGGCTTTCCTCCGCCAAGGCACGACAACCATACCCGTTTCTCGGCGTCGCCGGACGTGGGCTTGTTCGCGCCGTCCACACCACGCCCCGCGGCCTTCATCGACCTCAACG